AAATAAAGTATTTTTTAAAAAAAATTATTATCTTATATTTTGATTATGGAGCTTTTGAATTTTATAAGTCCACTTACATAATTTAGATGTGTTCATTTTGTAATTATATTAAGGTATAATTGTTTAAAACATTCTTCAATTGTTTTAAAAAATTTAAATAAAATTATATTTTTTTATTACATTCGATCAATTTTATATATTTTTATTTTAAATTAAATATATTTTTATGATTAATTGTCATTAATTAATGACATTTATCATTTCATATTCATATGGTACTGACATAGAGAGAAAAAATATCACATGATTATGTCATCATACTATATCAATATATCACATCATTATCCATTATAACATATTAACATACCATGTGACATTTTGATTAACGACAATTAATTAATCATTAGTTATAAGAGTTTATTGATCCAAAATAAAAATACAAGACATTATTGATTAAACGTAATATAAAAAATTATTTGAATTTTCTTAATAGTTTAAACGTTTTTTAAGTATTATGTCTTATATTAATTTTTTTAATTTATCAATTTCTTATATAATTTAAATATATGTTTGATACTAAGAAAAATTAATTAAATTGAAATTGTAGTTCTATATAAATAATATCGGATGACCTTAGGGAGGAGAATGATATGAATTATGTGATAAATTGAGGATATTTTACTATTTGCATCTTCTTCTTCTTTTCAGTCTGTCTCGGCGCAAGATGTAAATTGCACGGTCCAAACTTTGACATTTGCAAGTCAATTTTCGTGTCAAAATCATTTTAACTCTCGACCAAATTCACGTGATCTCGTGTCATGAGTACATTTTTGGCTTGACTTTTATGTTGGAACTGACGCTTTAAACTAAAAAGTCTTTGCCAAATGTTGAAGTAACTAAGCTTATTCTTAAAACTTCTTGAAAAGATTTGATTTCAAATCGAAATCTGTGTGTTTAATTGTACGTGCAATTATCTCATAATTCAATTCCAAAATCCTAAAAAAAAATATAGAAATTGTGCATAAATGATAAGCAAGTCGTAAAATTACATATCCACCGTCAAAGAGACTCGACTTATCTTTAATACAGACAGCTTTAAACACGCAAAAAACAAACTTTCACGGTTGATACTGAAGCCTTCCCTACTAGCCAGCCAGCTTCTTTGCCAAAATTAAATGCGATGATATGAAAAGAATCAGCCAGGTTGCCCAAAAGCCATTGAATGGTGGTCCATAAATGGCAGTTGATTGGAGATGCTTTGAGAAGTGGTTTTCACGTACACATCTCAGTCCTTAATTTCTTCATGGTTTCTGTCAATTCCTTGCCCTCCCCAACTAACCGGTTGGTTTTATTTCATTTTCATGCCTTCCGATTACTAGTCTTGATTAGCTTAATGAATCCCATAACAACCTTCCTTTGCCGACCAAGATTTCATCGTTTTGCAGGAATAATAATTCATTTTTGTTTATCTGCTAAAATTTATGATGAGCCTGCCTTGATTTGTGTGTAAAAATTAAGCATCCGGCGTGTGCAACCTAAGATTCTAAAACCTCTAACTGCCTTCTGTCAGATGGAAACGTATCGTGTCTTGGAGAGTCATTTTCTAGTGATCATCTAATGTTAATTGAGATCATTTAATTTGATCATTGTTTGTGTCTTCACAAAAAAAAACTTGAGATGTTTTCCTTTGGTTTTTCCATTGTAATGGTGAGATAACCTTTGTTATAATAAATCTTATTTCATTATAAGTTTTTCTTTTAATTTAAATTTGAAATTTTCAAATTTGAAATATTAAGTTGTAATTACAGTGTCATCATGAAGAGTGTTTTTTTAAAGTTAGAAATTCTAATTTTAGAAATTTAAAAAGGACTTCTAATTTTTTCACCTCATAAAATTTTTCATTAGTCATTATCAATAGACAATTTATAATGAATTGATACATATATTATTAGTATTTACATTATCAAAACCAATCAAAAAATACAATCTAATATATATATCAGTATGAAATCACTTTCTGATGTCATGTTTCCTGGATCAAGAAAGAAAAGCATTCGACTGATGATTAGGGATGACAATGGAAGTTGGTAGGACGAGGATTGCCTCATCGCCTCGCCCCATCGCGTCTCGACAATCATGGTCGTCGGCTTGTCTCATGGATGTTACATTCTAATATTCATTATTGCTTTTATAAATTTTTGTAACATTTATGTTTATATCGCTTTATTAATAATTTTTTTATAAAAATCATTTCAATTTATATTGTTAACAAAAAAATCATGTAATTAATGTACTTTCATCTTATTATTAATATAATTATAATTTTTGTCATTTTACATAATAATATATAATTATCACAATTAAATGAAATAAAAACGTCTAGCACTTTTTTTTAAAAAAAGTGTCTAGCACCAAACATAATAGAATTTTCAAAGAATTTATGGTAAAAAAAATAATAAGTCTAACCATATATAATAGATTTCAAATTTTTTAAATTCAATATTTAAATTTAATTAATTAAAATTTTTTGAACATTAACGTAAGCGAGACGGTCGTGACTGATGAGGCAGGCAACCAAACACCATAATCGGCCCGCCCTCGACCCGCCTTGTTAAGACGAATCGGGTTTTGCCATCTCTAAAATGATATGATTGGACTTAGGCTTGAAAGCTGAAATTTGCAATGAATGGTTGTTTTTTATTCAATGTGGACTGTCATTCACGTGGTGTGAAATTTGTCTGCAGGGAAGACTGAAGGCAAGAGATGGCTGTAGAATTTGACTCCCATTATCACAAATCTATTATCTTTCAAAAATATAAGATTTAATTAAATTACTATATATTATAACTCATTAACAATGTATAAAATGATACACTAATTAACAAATAATCTGTCAAATATAATTCCTTTTTACTAAATACTTATTATTTTCTTTTTTTGTAATTAAATTTTAATTTATCAAAAATTAATAAGAATTTATTATTAAAAAAACAACAAATTTCTATATCTCAACTAAGGTTCTTTTTTTTTTAAAAACAAATTGCTGAAAAAAAAAAGGTTTATTTTTTAATAATTGTACTACATAAACAAGGTATACTTTTTTTACTTTTATTAACCAATATGTCATTTTCATGTGGTTTTATTCCGTCAATTTTATTCCTCATTACATCTCAACTTTTTCAATTTTGATTCTTTTTTGTTTTGTTTTTTTTTTTTGCCCAAAAGAAAGCACCATATTGGTATGTACTTTAATGTAACCGACCTAATTAAAGGCACCACATTCCTAAACAAAGGTACAACTGAAATTATTTTGATCAAACTTTGACTAGCATATATATTCTTTTGAAAAGTGAATTTTTTTTTATTTCTTTGAAAATAAAAAGTTGAGAAAAAAACATTCTCATAATGCATTATTTTTTGTCTCAATCATATTCCACTATGGCAATTCAACTTTTAGGGCACTTTGTCTTTTTTGGGGGAAAAACTTTCCATGTAGAATCTCTCCTTTTTTATTGATACGAGGCTAGCAAGCTCATGCATGGAATTGCATTCCACCCAAAATAATAATAATAATAACAAATCCCAAATGATAACAATAACGATACGTGAATTACAAATTGAAAGATAAAGAATTTATTTTATTATTAATTTTCTTCACCGACAAACAAAATATATACGTCGAATAACATATACTTGAGAAGCAATTCGATGACGTGATTGTTTAATTATAAATTAATTAATTGAGACACAAGTTGAAAAAAATTCGTAAAAAAAATATTGTTTGATATTTTTAATAAACCACGTAATTTATTAATGATTAAAGAATAAGCTGTAGGTAACTTGTATCTATTAAGTGATGAACCTTTTTCGCCTGGCATTTGGAATCCCTACAATTCCTAGAGCCTTCGTATTTGAGGAATTGATTCACCGTAGGAAACCACACAAATATAAGGTTATAATTGATTCCTAAATAGCTTAATATTCAATAACAACTATTGAGACAAAAAAAATTTCATCCAGGCAATTAATTAATTTTTCATATAATTATATGTATAACAATAATAATTAAAATTATAATAAAATAATTTATAACATATGTAAATACTCGAAAGCTTTTCTTCATCATAAGTGAAGAAACGGAAATGACTCCTTCAAAGTGTCTTTATGGGAGAAAATTTGGTCAGTGTTTCTGTGTTATGAGCCTTAAAGATGATTTACTTTTTAACGAGAAGGAAGAGAAGGAAGAAGAAAAAAGATAAGAGGATAGTGATTATTTATTAAATATAGTGGGACACATAAATTCATGGCTAACTTAACAGTTCCTGTTCAAGCTCAGCTCGGGGAGATTTTTAGCCATATTTATTTATTTATTTGGTATAATTACATAATAAATGAAAAATTAATTTTAGTGGAATTTCATACTACTTTTGATCAATCCAATTGAAAAGGTTGTGATTGGAAGCAATTTACTAGTGATTTTCCAGTTATGCTAAGGTGATCAAAATTTTGTTTTCTTTCCTTTATTTGCCTTATTTTGCTTCATTCTTTATGGAAATTAGGTGAACTTTGGCTTGCAATGCTTGCTAAAGTAGGTATACAAGATAAGCATAGTTCAAAACCAACTATAAATTACCGAATGCTAAGTGCTAATTGATGATATTGATTAGCACAAATTAAACATGATTAAATGATATGGATGCAATAAATCTTCTCAAATAAGTAGTTTCTTTATGCTAATCCAACTATTATACTATATTGGCTAATTTATCCTTCATGTCTTAAACAAATCCCTCTATATATTACAACCTTTTAATTGTAATTAATGTAACATATTATTAATGCTTGAAAAAATGAGGGAAGCCAAAGCTGAGCCGAAGCCATGGAAGTGCAAAACGGAGAGGGTTAATAGTTGTAGAGAAGGAAACGGCGGGTACAACTAACGCTCCAGTCTTTTGCTTTGCTTTTTCTTTCTCGCTTTAAAACATCTATCTATGCTTGTCTTTCACTTCCCTTCTTCACAGTCTTTTCTTTTGTCTCCCCATTTCGCCTCCACCACCAAACCCAAACAACTCTCTCTCTCTCTCTCAAAAAGAATTTCTGGGACTCTCCGCTTTGTCTTTTTTTATTTATTTATTTTATAATTTTAAATTCCACCAAATCCTCTATTTTCACGCTATAAATACTCTCTCCATTTCTCTCCGTTTCCTCTCTCTCTGACCATAGATTCTTTTGTAATACCGGTAAGCTATCGCTCTTCTGATTTTTCAAAAAACGTTGTCGTCTTTCTGCTCCGATTTTTTCCATTTTCGCGCTGAATTTTCGTGCATGGTGGAAACTCGAGACCTGGAAGTCGGTGTCGTTTTTGACATGTTCTTTCTCGAGTTTTGATCTCAGGATCGAATTCAAAGAAGGCGATAACATGTCAGTACCGTAACGTTTTTACCATTTCTCTTGAGCTGAAATTCGAGTCAGTACTGAGTTCCGTTGGAGCTCAAAAATCAAAATGGCGACGATTTTAGTTGTTTTAATTCAAAAAGGAAAACGATCCGAGTTAAATATCGAGTCAATATCCGAGTCATTATTGAGCTTTTGCTTTGAAAATTTTTTCGAACCTCTTCTGCTTTTCTACTTTGATTTCTAAACGCTGTCGCGTCAGTTTCAACGAACACGAGTCATAGCTTGTTCGTAGTTTTGAATTCAAACTGAGTTGCTTCGAGTCTGATCTGAGTCAAAGCGCATCTGAACTCGATTCAGTTTCGACATCACCTTCTTTTTGTTTTTGTTTTTGGAATATTTAAATATTAATTCGAATATTTCGAAAAATGAAAAAAGGAAATAGTTAATCATTCCGATCATATTGCTGATTAGTAGTATGATTATTATATGCAGATTAAGGTTTGGATGCTAAGCGAGGAAGGAAAATGACTACGCAACTTTTGGAGATTCAACCAAATGAGCTTAAATTCGTATGTGAGTGCGCAATTACTTGATTGCCCCTTCATTTTTATTAGCCTAATCATTTTTATTATAAGGTACTTTAACAATTAGCTAAAGTCACTTTTCGATCTTAGTTTATTTATTTATCATTATAATAAATAATTTATGTTATTTAGAATTATTACTTTGTTTCATTACTAGATACGCAGGGAAAACAAGAAGGATTTGTGTAAACCTATTTGTTTTATCTATTTTTATATAATTATTTTAAAAATAAATATACTAAAAACGGTAAAGAATAAGGATTTATTGTTAATTAATTTTGTTAGTAACATATTATATTTACCTTCGTTATTTATTGATTTATATATTTCTCATTTAAATTTATCTTTTGTTTGGTAGTTATATTGAAGAAGCAATGCTCCTGCTCGGTTTCACTTAGGAATAACACTAATCAATATGTTGCTTTCAAGGTCTGAACTCTGAAACATGCTCTGCTTTTCTCTTTTCTTACTTTTTTTTTTAATTTAATTTATGTCTATCATTTTGCAATTTCTAAGGCTTATTTCATGGGATGGACTGTTAGAATTCCCGATGGCAATGTAATTGGAGCAATGATATTTTGCAGGTTAAAACTACATCTCCAAAGAAATATTGCGTGCGGCCTAATGTTGGCATTATTTTGCCTAAATCATTATGTGAATTTACAGGTAATGAAGTCTTTTTTTTTTTTTTTGCTTTAGGATTGATATTTGTATGTGTGTGCGTGTAATGAATGAATTTCAAAGCTTAAGCGGTCTTTAATCTTCATGGCTCATAATAGACAATGAAAGTAAATTAAGATTGTAGAAGTGGATGTGAGGCAAAGGGTTGGGATAGAGTAAAGTTTCTGGCCTTTCTGGTGCTATAACTGCAGGGCATGTTTCCTCTGTAGAAGTTGGTTTCTAATATCTGATAATACATGATTGATGCCCCGAGAGTGCAAATCTATTGCAGAAACAAAAATTACATATTATCAAATGACATTCTTGACCCTTAGGACAATTTGCTGTTGTGCTGCTTCGATAGCTGGACAAGTGAATCTAAGCTAGTGATGCAACTTAGAAATAAATTATAGTGCTGAAATTCTCATATGATGTTTTTTTATAACTTTTTTAGCCCCTTGCGGTGTACGCATATATATTCTCATCTTTGTTTTTTTTCATTTAGTTACCATGCAAGCTCAGCGTGAAGCCCCTCCTGATATGATATGCAGAGATAAGTTCTTAATTCAAAGCACAATTGTTCCTGCTGGAACAACTGATGAAGACATTACATCTGCTGCTGTAAGTGATTTTTTGTTCTGCTTGTGCTTTATCTGATAATAGTAAGTGACTTTGGTTTCTCATTTTGCTTGGCAGTTTGTCAAGGACAGTGGAAGATATATTGAAGAGAATAAGCTAAAGGTTGCTCTTGTCAGCCCACCTCATTCGCCAGTATTATCACCAATTAATGGAACAATGAATCAGGGACTAGATTATGATGCTTCGATACCAAAAGAGCCAGTGCTGAGCAGAGTTGGGGTTCTTGTACCACCGCAGACGGTTAGATCTACCTACTTTGTCTATTTTTTAGCCCTTAAAGTCAAGTTGCTTTTAGTTCTGGCATACATATGTTTATGCACGCATGTACGTGTTTATGTGATTGCATTGTCTTGTAAAGGAAATATATTTTTTTAAATCTGAAAGTAAACTTTATGAGAATTTTTGTTTGAGTATGAGATTTAAACACAAATTTCAAGTCTATCAGTGAAGCCTATACCTAAAACCTCTAAGAATACCAGTGTTCTCTTCCCTGTGCCAGGTTGCCAAGGTTGAGGAGTCAAAGATGATAAATTCTGAGGATTTAAAGCCAACAAAGGATGTGGAGTGGAAGCCAAGGAAGGATATGTTCTATGCTGAAGATCTAAAGCTAAAGAAGGATACAGAGCTGAAGCCAAGGAATGATGGTGTTAATGGTGAGGACTTAAAATTAATAAGGGATGCAGAGCCTAAGCCAAAGGATAATTTTGTCAATAGCAAGGAGTTAAAGCCAGTGAAAGATGTGGAATCGAAGCCCGCGAAAGATGTGGAATTGAAGCCAATGGAGGATATTCTTGATACTGAGGAACTGAAGTCAGTGAAGATAAAGGAGTTGGATGCATTGAAGGATGGCGAGGTAGATGCATTGAAGGATGGCGAGGTAAAAACATTGAAGGCTGTGGAGGAGCTGAAGTTAGTCAAAGATGTCGAGGAAATGAAATCAAAACTAAATGACCTTGAATCTAAGCTAGGCGAGGTAAGTTTTTGTCTGTAAGGCAAAGAATGATGCTTGATATTGACAGTTTAGAATAAGATTGAATTATATTTTGCCATTATTAATTTGCTTCTGTTTTCTTCCTGCTCTATATAGTTTCAGTAATAATAGTTGGTCATTTCCTTCTCAGGCTGAAGCTACCATTGCAAAACTGACAGAGGAGAGTAGGTTAAGCACTCAAGAGAGAAATATCTTACAAGAAGAACTAGTAAGTTTTCTGTTTTTGTTCTTCTTCTTGTAGGTTCTTGTTATATGATCCATATCACATGTTTAATCATGGACAGTCAATTCTCCTAGTCGCTTGTTTCTCGGTGTGTAGAATAGGCCGGAGGTTTATTTTTACCATGTGACACAAAGTTCTCAATTTATCCTTGTGTCTTTTCGGTCTGCTATAAATCCTCCCTTAGACCGCTGATATATGGGCCAATTGCAGCAGAGTCCTTCACCTGATTTCTATATTGAATGGAATGATGGCCTTGTCATTAGGAGATCTACTTCTAGGCTTATAATTGCAGGACAAGGAAGCAGGTGGGAGAGGTGGAGGGCAAAGTTCAGGGTTCTACTTAGTACCCACCACCTTGGATCATTTACCATTGATTAGGAAAGCAAGTGGAAACTCTATATCATAGAATTCTGAATCACCCACCAGAAACCAATTTGTTATAAAGTTAGAGACCAGTCCAAAGCAGTTTTATTAGATTGCAGCGAAACAATGTATGTTTCATTTTATGCAAAACCCTTTAAATTATTGACACTAAATTCCTTATTTCTGCAGGCCCTAATGAGGAAAAGGACAAATCTAAGAAAAGTTCAAGTGGGATTTCCTCTCCTATTTGTTTGCATGGTAGCACTCCTTAGTGTCTTTCTCGGGTACCTTCTGCGCCGTTGACAACGAATACTTCCATGTCATGCAGGTTACCAGCAACAATCACACAGGGTTTATTAATAGTTAGAAAGCTGGAATATAAAATACTTTCCTGCTCATAGAAAGTGTGCACAGTACAATAGGGACGGCCATATAAGCAGAAATTTGCATGTAAAGGTTTGTGTTACCTGTTTGCCAAAAGGAAATGAAAGAACATATGAGGTTAACCCATAGAGTAGGAACTGTTTTTTTTTTTCTTTTTGATAATTATTAACTTGCTATTTGAATTCGTATGACACCTATAAAAGCTCTTGCAAAATGTCAAAGAAGAGTATATCATGATGATGTCAACATAGTTGAGGAAGAATAAACATGAATACCATTTTTAGGAAACTTAACGTGAGCAAAATAACCTATACAACGATACTAGCATACAAGAGGTAATTACAAAATATAATGTGCTGGCTTCTCGTCGGCCAAGTTAAAAATTCATCAAAAAAATTTTCACAATATGTTTGTGTTTTTCTTATGACCGACTCTGATGCATGGTACATATATTTTGAACATCTGGGATCAGCCTTCTCGTTGATCACTGCCATTGAGGTTCATTATGTTCACTCCTTTCTGTTGGGGAGCCAGGAACAAAGGGCACAAAACCACGGCCACCAAACACTGGGCGCATGAAGGCGTTATCGAATTTGCGCCAGTAGTGATGAACAGTGTGCGTTGGAGTTGTGAGAAGTGCGCGAATGCTGCTTGGCCGAGGAATTCCACCTAAACCATCCTCAAAGGAGTCTTGGCCACTTCCAAGAAGTGGAACCGTAACTGATTTGGGAGTGGATGGGTCTGAGAGCATACTGGTTGTTACTTTGGAATGAGGCAGCAAGAACCTGATTAGAGGTTTAGTCATTATACCAAAAACCTGAGTAGAACCAACAGATAAAGAGTTAGTAACATCTCCAAGAAACTCTCATGCTTAAGACTAGTAACCAAAGGGCCAAAAATGATAATAGAAGGCCAAAGTAACAGTAATTCACACTTCTCTCATTGCAAGACAACTCAACCATTCTTATTAAATTCGAAACTTTCATGAATTAACAGATTATGTGATAAAGCTCAAATAACCAAACATATTTGGTGCATTAATGTGAAGCAAAACCTTCAACATTTTCAAAAATTAAATAATAAGGGTAAAACGCCACGTAATTTGGGAGAAACTACCTGATCTCTAAGCAGTTAAAATGAAGGCAGGAGACATCTTACCACAGTGCTGAAAAGAACAATGGTGATAGTGCTCGTAATCATAATTGCATTTGCTCGCAACTGAGTATGCCCTAACCTTGTAAACTGCATTTATATGAAGTAAAAGCCTATCAGATACTATTATCATACATCAATCAAACAAATCTCTCACCTTTCCCTTTCACAATTTCTCTCTCCCTTTTCCTCTCATTCTACCTTTAGTATTTCTACTTATTTTCAAACACACATCAAGCACTTTTTACTTTCCTCATAATTTACTAGCCAACTTTAATACAAGGAAGCTACTTTTCCATGACATGTAATAAAAAGGTTTTCATTTCAAATGAAATAAGATTATCCAGACTTTACCTGATTATATGCAAGTGCCATAGATACAGCACCTCTCATGAGACCAGCCCACCATATTATAATCTAAACAAAGAAATACGGAGAAATAATAATGTCAAATAACATCATTAGTTGATCTGGAAGCAAAAAATTAACAACACGAACACCTACTTGTTGCCTAAAGCTGATTTTTTCACTAGCTGATTTCTTTGCTAAGTTGGATAAAAATGAAAGGGGAAACACGAAAGCTGCTCTTCCAGCCATAAGCAGAGCAAGCAGCACTGAACTAACGGCAACTGATGTTCCAGGGCTGCAAAAAGGAGATCAAACATCATGTCACAACAGCAAGATCATTCAGTAAATGGAAGTTATATTGCACAAGTTGCACAGGAGAAAAAGGACATGGAAAAGAAAAAGTAAAAGATATACCTGAGGCAGCAGTTCAAGACAACAATGACTCACTAATATAAACTTTACCAAAATCTAGTTAGTGTATTTCCTAGCAGGCGCATAGAACATACCTATCACTTACAAATCTCCACTTCTCAATGTCCAAGGCATCCATGCCAACATAAAGAAAGATAAATGTCTCAGCAACAAACGACATGGTAGCAAAAGCATGCCTGTGTTAAAACCAAAGTTGAATCAATGAGGCATATAATGAGTTAAACATTTGTTTAAGGCTTATTTTTTCTCCTAATAACAATGACCTATGACCTTGATTGCACTAAGATAACACCATGGAGGATACATACTTGGTAGTTACTCTTGAACTCTCAGTAACATTGTGCCAGGTATAATGTGACATCACAATCCCACAAAAAAACACCGTGAGAATGCCACTCAAATAGAACAGCTGCAGGGAGGCAACATTAGAGTTATTCAACAAGCACGTAAATCATAAAATTTAGAATCATCATATCAGAAGAGGAAGGACTGCAAAAAAGTGCCATATTATCCTAAGAGGAGTCTTACTTCAGCCAGTATGTACGAAAGGTACGCCATGAGCAACATAAGAGCAAACTCACGATCTGTTGAGTGCCTGAATCATGTTAAAATCAAGTACATTCAATAATTAGTTCTAGACTTCTCAAACATTTTACCATTAACACTGTACTATAATAACAAAATTCATGTTCAGTTGAAGTCCTCTGATAAGTAAAAAATTTTAATATCACAAATGCTACTTTCATGTAAACCTTCATTCCCTGGAGATGAGTATAGATTCTTATAGAAGTATTTCGAGGTTGTTTGATGCGTAGAAGACAATTATTGAAAGGCTAGTTGATATAAAAACACAGATAGCATAAAAGACATACCTTCCAAAGTACAATGTTTTGATAATGTAAGCACTTACCAGCCCAACCTGTGAGGACAAGAAAAAAATCACACCTCAGCAGAAGTGCAGTGTTCACAGAATGAATCAGAATTGAACAAAAAGAGACTTACAATCACTCCCAGAAATGTGCTCGTTAAGAATAAATAAAAAAAGCTGCCAATAAACTCCAAAGCAATTCTGGGATTGATATTAGTAAGGTCAAAGCTCTGGATTGCATTGAAAAGCACCACTGAGGTAGCATCATTTACGACACCCTCTCCGAAAACCAGACTGTAGAGTAACGGAGTCTCATCCTGATTAAGCACCTACACCATCAGAAGAAACAGCTCCACTTTAGCAAGTTTGATATACTTGTCGTTTCAATTTTGAAGTGCTACAACAATTTTAAATTATGAATACCTGCAGTGTGCAAACAGAATCCGTTGCAGCAAAGATTGCACCAATTGCTGAAAATTACAGGGAACTATAATAAGATACCCAAACATAAACAAAGCAATTTTGAAAAATAAGGGAATGATAGGCAAATACCTAGATAATCTCCAATATCCAAGGAGCCAATGTCCATTTCCTTGAAGAACTGAATAACACCTGTTTGATGCATCAGAGTTGCAATCACAATCAGCAAAATTAGTCTCGGCAATACTAGGACATAAAGCAACAATTTAAGTCAACCCCCAACTCTGCCCCCTGGCTGCCAATCCCCATGCACAAAAGCAAAAGAGAAAAGAAAAGAAACTGAATCTACACTACTTGTAAAGTGCATTCATAAAGTTGTGAAAAATACCTAATGATATAATTGTACAAGATATTAATGTACCAACAGCCCCAAACAGCATGATGGTGATAAAGTTATGAAAAAATTGCTTCTTTTTCACCTGAAAACTGGCACAGAAAGCAGAAGAGATCAGAAAAGCTTTAGGAAGGCAAATAAAGTAAACATAGTCTTCATGTTTTACTCTTAACAATTTTAAATTAAAAAATAAACCTCAATATCGTAGAAAAGACACCTACGTTCCTCTATTTACAATATGGAAAACATGGGGAAATTCTCAATGTATTAAGTTCAAACCCAGAATAGATAACTGTGGAATAGGTATTTAAACAAAATAATGTTTCATATTGGATAAGTGTTGCATATCTATCTATTTTACCTTTTAAGCTGTATAACAAACAATCTCCATATTTTCCACTCAAAAGAGAAATGAAAATGGAAGGAGAACAAACTTACCCAGCATTAAATATAATTGGGGGCAGAAGATAAATAAAGAAAAGATCTTCACTGAAGACTAAAAGATGTGAGCTTTTACCCCTACTTGTCAACAGAATAATGACTCCAGTACAAAGACCCTGCCAATAAAACCGATTAAATCAAATACATCACGCGAGTTAAACATATAATCCAAGCAATCAAAACTTTAGTTGAATTGTTCAAAAAAGCGTAATTCCACTCCCATAGATGGCAAGAGAGAAACTCACAATGACAAGGGCAGTAATTGACTCATTCATCCATCGGTTCTCCTCCAGAAGATGACCGATCACAATACAAGCACAAAGAAGCGCGACAAATATGTTCATAGAGACCACAGAGGCATGGTCTGAAGTAGATAGTGTCTGCAACTTGGAAACGACAGCAGCTAACTGTGGTGCCACCATATTGAGCTCTTTTTTAATCAAAATTTATTGAACAACCAATTAATTGAGATTGACTGTAGTTATAGTCCAAAGCTGTAGGTATAGATTTTCCTTCAACAATGCAAATCTTCAAAAATTTCTATGTCTCTGAGCTGTCCATTTCAAGAACTTTCGAATCTCATAATTCACACGAACCCTGCATTTACAAAAACCACAGAGTTAAACTCATTTCTTCAGTATTCAATCTCATAACCTCAAATTTTTTCCATTTGTCTTGCTTTATGTTCTTTTTTTTTTTTTCGCTGCTCGTTGTCTTAATTCAACAAAATTTAGAATACTGAAGAAAAAAAAACCTCGAAATATTGAGAAAAAAAAGAGAATTATTATTTGTTTAATTATATAAGTAATATTAAAAATGTAGGAAGGAAGAAGAAAAGTGAAAAAGTTAGAAACTCTTTTCAGTTACAGTAGTTAGTTATTCAAAACGACTTTTTTAACTGAAAAATAACAACAAATAATTTCCTTTTTTCCAAATTCCTCTACTTTCCCAGAAACCAAACATCAAAAAAAAAACTTATGGAATGGATTTGCAGAAGAAGAAACAACGGCATGCATGAAGACCGCATTTATATTTCATCTTTCTTGAACTTTTTCTTCTACAAATATTTTGCGATTTCATTGAATCAAAACAGCAAAACACAACTCAAAGAATTCCAAAAATTTCCTCTTCCGTTACTTTCCTTTCCTGCCACTATCTCAGCAATCAAACATCCAAAGAACAACAAAAAAACTAAAACTTACCGAATCGTTTCGGAGAATCAACAGCATGCAGGAAGAAGGCATTCGCATTTCAGCTCGACTCAAAGGTTTTTCTTTGATTTTTTTATTTTAACAACACGAAATCTCGAGAGGCGAGCAAATTCGAAGAGAAAAGCTTAGGGAAAAAACAGAAAGAGAGAATCCAAAGTTCCTCTGTTTCGAAATTTTCCCACCTGAGTCTTCGACTCCCCCACCAATCTCGCAAAAATTGCCGCAATTTTCCTTTTTCAGCTTCAAAATTTTGCTTTAATGGGAGAGAAATAAACTCAAAAAACACAAAATGAGAGAACGTTGAAAGGCTTTTGAAACTGCTCTGATTTTTGCTCCTGGAAGAGAGATTGGAGTTTTTATTTGATGAGAAATTTCTGGAAATTAAAAGAAATAAAAATAAGAAATGTGTGGAGAGAGATAAAGAGACGAAGGACAGGCGTATTACGCGGGTGAACACAAGGAAAGGGTATTAAAATACGGCCATGGAATACAAATCAAGATGTATCATTTAAATCAAGGCCGTTGAGTTGTTGACGGTTTTTATCTATGGTAAATCGAGTGGTTCTGATAAATGTTCCAGTGTGATATCGGGTGTAGGGGAATATGGTAGTTAAGAGAATACTAACGCATGTAACAACTTTTACCTCTCCCTCCCTTTTTCAACAGTTTAAAATTACCGGCTTTTATAAAGTAAACTAATGGTTTATTACTAGAAATAATTAGTGAGAGAATCTCCTAATTAATCTTGTCATATGATTATTATGTCTGCCCACTCAGCTTGGACATATGTCTATTACCTCAAATAAAAATAATTTTAAATCAACAAAAACAAATTAATCACTACTCTTTTAATAAAAACAATATAAATAAATTCTCCAATACTGTTATTATAAGAATTATTTATGTAAGAAATAATATAAATAACATCTTTCAACTTTTTGTTAGATTTTGTTACAAATTCTTGTTGTTGTGTGTTAGAAATTAGCCTGCTTACTTATTACAACTCTTTGTTATGTGCTATAATTTTTTTATTATATATTATTAACTTTATAACTTTTTGTTACATTTTATAGTTTTTTATTTTTGTTACTTGTTACAAAACAATTAGTCAAAAAAATTGTAAAAATGAAAAAAAAAATTATATAACAGAAAATGTAATACAAAACAACAAATTTTAATACATAATAAAAATTCGTAAAATATAACAAAAGATTGGAAGAATTATTTATTAAGATTTCATTTAGTTGATATTTTATTATTATTTATTATTATTAATTAATAAATAATAAACAGAAAATAGTAAAAAAATCATTCAGATTAATTAAATAAAATTAGTGAAAAATTTTACAATTTTGTACATGTGTCTCTTAGTTGTACTTTGGAAACTTTATAGTGGAAGGTAAGGGTGTATGGTACCATAACTTATGATGCTGAAAAGGACTACACTAAAATAAGGAGAATCAGTGTATTATTTAATTAATTTACTAACAAATATTGCACGTGATCGGATTCTGAAGTCTGATCTGATCTGATTTGATCTATGTTAACGCTATTTAACCTCTAATCAAAACAAGTCTCACGAGCAATCTCCCGGTCTTTTAGATGGCCACGGACCTCGCCATAAAGTTGTTCTACTTTGTCTGTTTCTTTCTGTCCGTCTGCTATTCTTTTATGTCATTCTTACATGCCTTTCTGTTCATTTGTCAGAGTACATTGAATCAAGGCTAATAATTGCCAATTGCTTAACGGAGTGTTAATTTCGTAAAGATGATTGAAAATTCTGTTTAAAATTTGCTACTACATGGCTATGTAAGTACAAGCTGCCTACAGTTTTGACTTGATTGATGATGGTGATGTTGTTGTTATCCCGACAAAATTGTATTCAATTTTATTTAGGGTCATCAAAGCCATGGCATGTTATCATACGATAATCATATCAATACGATAATCATATCAATCTGATTGTAACTTATAAGCTTTTATAGTTATCAATAAGTAGATGGTTATACCTTTATTATATAAAAAGGTATATTCCTTTTACTAAAGTAATTTTTTTTAAAATATTCTCATATCATATGAACTTTAGATCTAATATGGAAAGAGAAATGCAATTATAGCAAATTACTAAAACAACATTTTAATTAAATGGTTAAATTTGAAATCCCGAACTTAAAAATATTGAATTTAAATCTTGAAATAGACGATTTAAGCTTATGATTTGGAAAAATGTCATTTCTAACTATTTTATAATTTAAGATCATATATATATATATATATATGTATGAATTATTTAAGTTGATTCACTGGTTAAACATACTAAAAAAAGGCATTAAAAAATTCTACCTCTATTTGATGGGAACAGCCCTGAAATTTTGTTGCTACATGTTCTTGCTTATTTGGATTGGTATAATTTAATGGCATTTAACAAAACCTATATATTAGCAAGTTTCCCGGATGGATGCTTTTGGTTATGTTGTTTAATTATCCATTAATCCATGATCTGATCTCTCTCTTTTATTGATTTGCGCCTGAAATTTAAGTAAGATGCAGATGTGTTAGATCTCAACTTGTTGTTATTTAAATAGTCCAAACACTTAACCATGTCATACTAATAATACAACAAAATAATGACATGTTAAATTGAATTTTTCAATCTACTAATATTGTTGATAAGAAATGTTGGGTGTCTTGTTGGACATATTTGGTGATGGGTCGCCATCATTGAATCCACCATTAAATGCTATTTATGAGTAACTATCAGCTAAATTTGGTAATTAGGCATGCTATAAACTAGAAAACATTATTACTTAATAGTATAATACCTAAAATTCTTTTTAATTATTTAAAAAAATTCAAATATCACTTATCATTCGTGACATTGACATAGTATGTTGACGTGGATAACATGATATATATAATAATTTTTTCTTTTTATGTCAATATTACTTGAATATAAAATGACAAGTGGTATTTTTATTAGTAATAATTACTAAATTATTAATTATTAAAACTTATTTAATCAAAAAATAAAAATATAAGAATTTAATCGAATGTAACAAAAGAATAAAATTTAATTTAAAATTTACAAAATAATTTAAATTTATTTTCAAAGATTATACCTTATTTAATTAAAATTTAAAAAATAGGTAAGAGTTTGTTTGTTAATAAACTCTAAGCTCTGATCAAGTTTAAACCATTTTGTGAGTGTTTTCTAGATGTCAAGCAACAATGGCATAATGTCAGGAAGCCTTGGCATCTTTCACCTAATTATGGGCTCAAAGTTATGGCACAGGCCATTGATGTTTAAAGATACCCAACGTCATGTGACATTTTTATGATGTTAGGAATGCTTCGCACCTTTCACTTTATATAGTCTTGACGTTGAAGTTTCAAATCATGACAAGCTCATTGTTATCTTGATAAATAAATTTATTTTTTAATTTAAACAATAATAATAATAATAAACTTTATATTAATTAAATAATTTTTTTAAAACTTTGATATAAATTATAAAGGTATAATATTTAAAAAATTTATTAAATTATTTAAAATTATAATAATAATAAATTAATTATTATAAAATATATAAATTATTTTAATTAATAATAATAAATTAATTATTAATTATAAAAATTACTTTGATTTAAAATAAAAATATAAAAATTTGATTGGGTGTAAAAAAAAAAAAGTTACTTAAATTTTTTTAAGTAATTCAAAAAATATTTTGAGTATTATGTTAATTCTAAATCACATAAATGTGACACTTGGACTTTCGAAAAGAATTGATTTGAAAATGGTCTTGTTAGGACCACAAAAAACCTACGCAGATCAAGAATAAGACCGACACACAGCAAATTACAAGACTATCATCAGTCCTGCATAAGAAGCGCTTTAAATCGGGCTTTCTCTTCGGGCCTTAACCCTTTAACAAACTCAGATCCAATCCATTATCTTTAAAACTTTTCTTTTTGGGCTTTTGCCTTGGATTAATGGATCCAAATCATTGTTTTAGCCTTAATTTTGAAATTAAGTTAATTGAAAATTTCAATAGCACTGGCAAAAGCTGTCTGTTAAATGATGTGTAGCCAAAACCCCAAAAATCATCTTCGAACACTGTTCTCTTCTCTCCATCAAGCTTGAAAGCCTTCAACTGGGGTTTTTGAATTTTTTAAATTAGTTTTCCAATTAACAAGTTTTTTTTCCCCCCCAATTTTCATTCTATTAACTTCAGTTTAATAATCTTCGTGGAGAAGAAGAACAAGAAGAAGAGGAAGGACTGGAGAGATGGGTGCACAGAAAAAGGGCGCAACCGCTAGGGTATCAGAGGACCCCGAGGAGCTCGCACGTCATCCATTGCAAGCCATTCTTTTAGCCGATAGCTTCACCACCAAGTTCCGTCCAATCACCCTTGAACGCCCCAAGGTATCCGTATAAAAATCCGTATTCATATTCGTATACTCAAAGTTTGTTAATTGTTTTAGTTATGAACATCATTTCTTTTGTTGAAGGTGTTATTGCCATTAGTGAATATCCCGATGATAGACTACACATTAGCGTGGCTTGAATCCGCGGGAGTGGAGGAGGTTTTTGTGTTCTGCTGTGCTCATTCGAAGCAAGTCATTGATTATTTGGAGAGTTCGGATTGGCCTTCTCAGCCGAATTTTTTGGTTACAACGATCGAATCTCACAATTCCATCAGCGCTGGTGATGCTTTGCGTTTGATTTACGAACGCCATGTGGTAATGACGTATTTTTTTTGTCTTTTTCAGAAATGTGTTAATAAGATTGAAATGCATTTTAATTGAAATTAAATACTGTCAAGTAATGTGGAAAAGGCCTCTAGTTAAAATGTTGACCTATGTTTTATCCATGCTGGAGTTCCTTAGTTTTGAGCTTTAGGAGGTTGGTTTGTTGGGTTCTGTTGTTTGAAATACTGGAAACTGCTTGTTTTGTTAAAGTATTGCATTTTAATTTTGTGTTTTTGGAATTTTGAGTATGACTCCACTTGTTGGAAAATCTGCTTCATAAGGGTGTTGAAATTTAAAGAATCATTGCACCAGTTTGTTCAAAGGTGCTTCTGGAGAATAAAAACAAATATTATAGAAAGCAAGTGTCTAATGAATACCAAATTATCCAACACCATGTTAAAATTTGTCGACCGCCAAAATCCATGGGAAATTGACAACAGGTTTATGTTTTAATTAGAAACTCTCGGATTATCATTACAACTTTGGCATGACTTGGAGACCTACGGACGTAGCTATCAGCTTGCCTCTTGTGTGATGTTTGGGTCCTAGGTTTCTGTTGACTAGGCTATGTAGATGGGTTAATGTTGGAATTTGGAGCATTGAGCTATTAATCTTTGACCATCATGGATCACCTCTAATTAAATGTGAACAAGTCACCATCATTAGCATTTCACAGTCATTTCCGTGGGCAGTTAGTGTTTTTTCTTTTCTTGTCTTTTTTTTTTTTAAATGTTGATAGTTTAAATGTAGACAAGTTTTCTATATAAAGGTAATGAGGACCACATTACTAGAGTTCTTTTTGGTTGAACCTCATTTCTCAATAGGTTTAGATCTTTTGTAGAGTTTATAGTTGGGATGCTGCTTTTTTTTTTGGTGATTTATAATCTCATGTTTGGATCTTACTTACAACATTCATGATTTGGAGCTTGTTTCACTCATTACCTCCTGTTTTTTCTTCTTATCTTTTCAGATACATGGAGATTTTGTTCTTATTAGTGGAGATACAGTGAGCAACATGTCACTTACTCAGGCACTTCAAGAACATAAGGAGAGAAGGAAAAAAGACGCCAATGCAATAATGACCATGGTTGTTAAACAGTCAAAGCCTTCTCCAATCACTCAGCAGTCTCGACTTGGTACTGATGAACTCTTTATGGCTATAAATCCTGACACGAAACAGCTTTTATGTTATGAGGATAAAGCAGAATATTCAAAAGGGTTTATATCTCTTGACAAAACACTGATAGCTGATAATCCTTCTATTGTTCTGCACAATGATAAGCAGGTTCATTCTTCAGATCATCCCATGAAATTCTCTGGTTGTTTTTCAGATTACCTTTTATGCCATCATTAATTCTTCTTACAGACAGACACTGAAAAGGGAAGTTGTTAATATGTTAGTGAAAGATTTGATCTTTTTTTGGTTTTGGTGTGAATCTTTGCAAATTCTAGTTGCTTCTCATGGTAGTGAACAGAATCATTTCTAAATAATGATAACATAGATATAATGTGTGTGAACTTTTACTTGGTTGGCCAGTTTTTGATGCCATAAAATTCTTGCTTATTCAATTTATAGGTAGCAGTCAATATGTCTGTTTCTGTGCTATTATATATCTGTTATGAAGTTGTTTGCTTATCTCCGATGGCTCTTTGTAACATTACTTTGTTCTTCATTCATTATTCACTCTGAAATTTTGATACATTTTATTGTAGACAGTCTTTACCCTCTTCCTCTACAGGCTTTTAACTGTTTGGGTTGGCACTTTGATTCTCGAGAAAGAATTTTAAACCTTGGCTTCAACCTAGGTCCATTTTAAGATTCTAACTTTTTTCATGCTACAACACTTAAAACCTTTGGCTACTGGTACCTGCATTTGTAAACAATGTCTTTCAGTTGGTGACATTATTCAATAGCCCAAATTCTTTATTTTCATTTTAACATATTACCTGGATAAAGGTTAAACATATATGATATATGCTATTTCTCTTTAGTCGATAATTGTACACTAAATAGTTAGGTTTTGCTCTTGCAGGATTGTTATATTGACATATGCTCTGAAGAAGTACTAAGTCTTTTTACAGACAATTTTGACTATCAACATCTACGACGTCATTTTGTAAAAGGATTGCTCGTTGATGATGTACGTGCTACATATTATACTCTTTTATCATCCCTTGCCTACAACAAAATGAAAATATGTGCATGAACACAAACGAAGGTTAAAAAAAAATAAGACACGGAAGAACTGGGAGGGTTGTCTTTATACACCCAAATGTCTGGATAAGCATGACCATATGATAGCTGTGTAGGAAGCTTTATTCTAGATCTTTGCATTAGAATTTGGAAAGCAACTTTTTATTTCCCTAAACTATCTTGCTCCCTTTAATTTTATAATTTTTTGTGCAAGCATCTTTGCTTATTTTACTGCTCCTTGGATTAGGTAAACATGTGTTGCAACTTCATAAAAACAATGAATTATTTCTTCTTCACTAAATGTAGGCATTTGTAGTCATTATAATGCTCAGTTTTAATTGGAATATTTAAACCATTAAATACTGATAAATTCACGAAAATATAAATATCAATAAAATTACAGGAATTATAGAAATTCCTAGGATTTTGGAATGAAAGTTACTTACATTTATGTGTATCTTAGTATAATGCTATGCAAATAACATACAAAAATGTCATACATGGTATATGATGTAGTACTTATGATAAACAGAAGCTTGAGAAATATTCCATTTGCTAGTTAATACCAGACTGAATATTATAAGATTCAGTATCTTATTGCTTTCCAGTCCTATCAAGCTAATTATTTACGGCTGCAGATTATGGGTTACAAGATTTTTACTCATGAAATTCACTCAAGTTATGCGGCTAGGATAGATAACTTTCGAAGCTATGATACCATTAGCAAGGACATAATTCAGAGGTGGACTTATCCGTTTGTGCCAGATATACTCTGTGGAAATTCTGCAATAAAAGTTGAGAGGCAGGGAACTTACCGAGCATCAGGTATAGGCAGAAAGGAATTAAGGTTTTGTATTTGACTGCAATAAAAATTTTCACGTTTTAAACGTGTAGGTTTGCATCACTAATATTTTTACCTATTTGATTTGTTTTTCTTGAGGAATTTCACCGGAAGTGGTTTAATTAACATTTTCTTTTTCTTATAACTTTTTTTTTTTCAGAAGTCACACTGTCACGTTCTGCACAAATAGGTCCATTCACTGTCATTGGACAAGGCACCAAAATAGGGAATGACACAAAAATCTTTCATTCTGTTATTGGAGAAGGGTGTACTATCGGATCAAATGTTACAATAGAAGGCTCCTATATATGGAATAATGTTACCATTGAAGATGGCTGTGAATTAAGGCATGCAATAGTATGTGATGGTGTGATAATGAAGTCAGGAGCAGTTTTGGAACCTGGTGTTGTTTTCTCTTTCAAGGTATGCATCCTTTCAAACATTTTAGATCCATTGTTGAAGTGTCAAATCTTATAATATTATTATAAGGATTAGTTTTAAATAAATGGTTATATGCTGTCATATGGAGTTGCATCATGCCCCAAGATATATGCTGGTTCAAATATTAATAATTGATTTAGACTAAAATTTTAGGATATATTGCAGCAATATCATTATGAGCTGTCTCCCAACTGAAGTAACTCAAATCTTTTGACTTTTGTTGGCCTTGATCTCATTCCTGTCTGGATTGCAGCTTATAATTTCTTGCTACTATTGAAACATCAAGTCAACCAGATTTACTCTTTGTGGGATTTAAAACGTGTTACCATGTACGCACAAAAAAAGCTCTACTTAAAATGTTTGTAATTGCTATATGAGTAATTATTTTTTTTTGTGGTTATGCTTCATCCTCCTTTAATACAATGTCATGTCTTATTACAAAAGTCAATCTAATCCCTACCCTTCCCAAAGTCCTAGCTATGCCCTTTGAGTGTGTTTATTATTATCTGTTTTGCAACCTGCCCATGGTCATTCTCACTCTTTTTCCCAGGTCCTATTTTTAATGGAAGCCGGAGTTTCGAAACAGTATGCCTAATATAGATCCTTGTGTTTTCCTTTTTCTTATATATTCATCAACATTTTCTCCAGTTAATAATGCTTTTTCTATAGTTCAAAGGTATTGTTCTCTGTTTATTTGTTGATTGCAAGAGATCTTAACTTTCTTTTCTCCAGGTTGTAGTTGGACAACAGTTTGTTGTTCCTGCGTATTCAATGGTTTCTTTACTTCAACAGCCAACCCAGCAAGATAGTGATGAGGAATTGGAATATGCTGACAGTAGTAGTGGAAATGTAGAGCTTCCATGTAAGTTCCAAGCATATATAAGTTCCTAATTTCTTCTCTTGCATTTTTGTTTTTTTTTTTTTTTAAAACAGTTGTTTAAGTCTTCAGCGGATACTGTGATACCTCAACCTTGATTTTATTTTAACATAGCACATGAGGTCTACTTATTTGTCCTTTTTATATCAATGAAATCTCATCGAACATATTATGTGTCTAGAATCTATAGATATGACATAATTATGGGCTGGTACTTTATGGTGACAAATGAAGAAGCCTTTCCAATATCATGCAGGTTTATGGATTTAGATAAATCAGTCAGAACTAATATCTTCTTTGATCTATTCTTTCTTTCAGTTGAGGGCAGTGTTTTATTTTTCTATTTCTTTTGGTTGTCACTATTTGCAGTCTATCTTGTATATACTTCACATTGGTGCCTGAGACATACTATTTCAACTTTTTTCTTGGAAATAAAATTTTGCAATTTATTACTAACTGATAAGCAACCAGAGCCTCATGCACCTTTTATCTTGAAAAAGAGTACATGGGAGTTAGACTCGAGTCTATTTTCAAATTTAATTAAAACTACCATTCTTCTGTTCTTTATCATCTTTGAAATTCTTGCTCTTGTATATATCCATCCCCTTTATGAAGTTTCTCTGTAATAGATAAAAAAATAAAAAGGCAATATAAGACACATATAACCAAAAGAAACAGGAAATGTATTGGAATTGGTTGCATATAGCAAAGTGTTTTGATGTCTAAGAGAAGGACGCTTGTCCTGCTGAAAGAAATTCTATTGAGTGGTGGTGTTGAGTATTTGCAGTTACAATATTGTATGTGCATAAATGTGGTCTGAATGAGAATTGCCCTGTAAGAAGGTGGGATTCTAGTCATTCGGCATAATTTGGGAGAAAGTTGTTCGAAGTGGTTTCATTATGGACAGCATAGGTGTAGGAATGTGCTGATTAGGTTTGGTTGAATGGGAGAAAACTAATGACAGAAGACAAATCACTTTCGTTGAAACTTGTGGAAAATGATTTGATTCTGACCAGATTGTGCAAAAAAAAAATTTTGTTGTTTGTCCTACCTTTGACTAGAGTGAGGTTAGTTGGCTTGAGTCTAACTTTTGTCATTTGCTGTGTCTGATTCTTTGAGATGCTATATGCATTGCATTTTTAAGTTGTTTCCTTATTTGTTTTATACTTCCAGATTACATGGTTAGTACTGCCTTTCTTGCTTCCTCTTGGTATAAAATATTGGTGCATATCGGTATGGAGATGTGGAGTTTCTCTTTGCTGCTAAGGAAGTAGAAATGAAATATAGCTTAATTTGGTTATTGTTTTTGGCAGACTTCTTTATATTTCGGCACATACCTCTTTCTATGTGCTGTTTATTGATTGATAATTTGTGCCTATGATCTTTGTTCTTTTATACTTGTGGTAAGCTATGGTTTATCTTCTGGAAAGGAGAGATCTTCATCATTATATCTCCTTATAGAAGTTAACAAAGCAATTATTGATGCAGCAGCTAAATTGAATGGGGATATCACATCTGATTTATCCGAGACACGACATGGGCCCACATCTGAGGTTAGATCTTTGGCTTGCTTCTGATATTACTTTAAGGCATTGTTACTGGTTTCGCTTGCAAATTGGTGCAGAGTGAATATGGAGAAAGTATGAATTAATAATGCAATTCAAGAGTATTATGAAATAGGGAAAAAAAATTCATGATTTATCTTTCTTGATATTATTAAATAGCATATCATGTTGAGTATGAATGTATCTATGACATAGACTTTTGTTTATCTCTTTCTCTCTCTCACAAGCTTCTTTGGCAATTAAATAATAACCTGCATGATGCAATTGTTTATGGATTATCAGCTTGGTACTGGTGGAGTTGGTTATATTTGGTCAATCTTTGAAGGAGGGCATGATGAGGAATGGAGGCATTCAGTTGCACCCATTACCACAGATAAACTGGCCAAGATAATGCTAGATAAAGATGAGGATGAGGAATTGTTAACTCAAGATGGCAATGTTCTCTCACCTTCAGGAGAGCTGAAATCTGATTCTGATGGTAATGATTCCGAAGACGATGATAATGAAGGCTCTAGAGATGACTATGTTTCCTTTGAGAAAGAGGTAGTGTTTTGACTGGATTGCTAGCAATAGGATGTAGTGCAAAGAATTATTTACAGTTTCCATTCTGGTTTGCAGGTGGAAGCAACCTTTTTAAGGGCTGTTCATGAAAATGTCAAAGTAGACCATGCAATCTTAGAGGTGAATGCACTTCGGTAAGTTCTGTTTATTTAAATCTCCAAGCAAGTCAAGGCCATAAATCTAGTGATGGACCTCACAACTAAAATTTTTAAATCTTTTCCTAAATTGTCTGTGTTAAAAGTCCTCTCTTTTTACATTATTTGAAAGTATAAAACCTAAAATTGGAAGTTTTCCAAAAATGGATATAGTTTGTATCATGTAAGTTTTGCTGTTAACAATGGCTCTTCTCTTTGCTATTGCTTATCATGGTTTATGAGCGCATGTTAAAATGGCCTCTTATTTAGCAGGGCCACATTTTTTTTTTGAGTTATATTTCGTCTGATTTGGCCTTGTTTATCCCTTTTAGTCTGATGCCTGCTTAGCAACAGAAAGGTGCTTGACAGGTTCAGCGGAATTACCACTTATCTCTCACAGACCATCCTTGATTCCATCTCCTTGTGGGGATCTTCAATAACTTTTAGCATTGATTTTTTCTTATATTGCTTCAAAGATGTGTTCAGACTGAGCTTTTGCTGTAATTCTCATTGAAGATTAGTTATGGACTAATATGTTGCCTGACTTGTTTCCTGCTATTTCTTCAGATTGTCTTACAACATGGCATCTGTGGATTGTGCTGGAGCAATATTTTACTCAATGATGAAATTGGCAGTAGAATCTCCACATAGCTCTTCTAGTAAGTGTATTATTAACGTATTCATTTCTTTTCATTTAATTTGTTTTTCTTTCATGGCTAGTCTGGTGGCACTATCTTTTACATTGAATTGATGCAAAGAAACCCGATGTGATTATGCATGCTTAAATGATTGAATTCAATATTCATACGGATGCATATATGTACACACAAGTAGACTTCTAGCTTCTGTTTTTAGAGACCTAAAAATTGCAAAGAGGTTATAACGGTCACATTAGTGGACAGTGAGTTGTTGCATCTAAAAATTTTTGACCTAACTCATCCATCGTAGAAGCCCCAAATTGCAGCATTTTGCAAATTATTATAGCATCATTAACCAATTCCTTCTTGTCATGATTGTTGGTCTCATTGGAATTCTAGAGGGGGGTGAATAATACTAAAAATTTTAAGATCAGCCTTTTTTGAATTGTAGAACTTTTAATCAATTTGAGAGAGAGAGATTTAAAGCTTGTAGTAGCTAAAAGACACTAAGTAAGGAAGGGTAGAGAGAAGTGAACAATGTAAGAGAATTTATAGTGGTTTGGTCTTCTTGACTAACATCCACTACCTTGATCTCCAAGTTAAGGATTTTCAACCTAACTTCACTATTTTGGTGGAATTAATAGCTTCCACCACTCTTTTATAAGGTAAGCTTCTAACCTAACCTTTAATCTCTTACAATGACTTTTAGAGTTTGTCCCACACTCTAAATTCTCAAGAAAAAGAAGTACAATTTCTGTCTTTATAAATATGAAAAGATTACAAGCAAGCTCAAATACTTTTTTTGGAATAAGAATGCAGAGTGGGTGTTTTTGGTGAATGATATTTGACTTTTTGCTCAAAATGGCTCTTTTTTGGTTCAATTACCCTTCTTTAACCGTTGGAGCTTCCTTTTATACTTGGGGAATAGATTTTGTTGTTCAAGACAGATTCTAGTCATTAGGGACAACTCTGATGCCATTTTAACCGTTATTTTATCTTCTAAGATTTAAATTCAAATGAGCAGACATAGTTTGGCTGACTAGTTACAGGCAGCTTTAACCGATTACAGCTTCTCTGTCTTGCACTATTTTGCTGCCGTGTACTCTGCATTAACCAATTACAGGAGACTTTAACCAATTAAAAGATCTCTGTTTTCAAGATTCTTGACTCAGCAGACTTCCTTTAATTGGTTAACTCTCTCTTTAATTGATTAAAGCTTTGTTTCCTTCATTCTTAACCGATTAACACAAACTCTGATTAATTAGAAAACTTTTGAATTTGAATTTCTCCATTTTGGCTCCCTTCAACGGTCATACTTATGTCAAATTTGAATTTTGGCGTGTAGAGGTTCTTCAAGTTTTGTGCACTAATCGATTAACCCATGCCTTTACCGATTAGCACACTTCTGTTTTTCTTTGTCCAGTACTTTCTTAATCAGTTAAGCCTAGTGCTAACTAAGTAAGATTTTTCTATTTTGCTTCAACTTACTTGTTGCCCAGTTATGTCTTCGCTAACCTTTTTCATCTTTCTCACTTTAACTGATTAACCTATCTATTATGTGATCTTGCCTGTAAACACTAATTTTATTGAGGAGGTTAACTTTTTCCTCTATACTTAAATAGTGAAGTTAGACAGATAATAAAAGAAGAATGCTATGTTATCATCTAAAACATATGAAGTTAACAGTGATATGTTAGATCTCAGTGATTTATATTCTTAATCTTTAAATTATGTTCAAGTCTGTTTACCATGGACCAAGTTTAGTGGTTGCATATTGATTTCGTAGTTCAATTTTAGTTGTCTTACTGGCGGTCACACATGGTGTGTTCAAAACAACAATGATGATAACCCTATAATCTTCTTAGAAGTTGTGTAAAATCTTTGTTGACTTTATAATGCTGTTTTGTGATGATTTTGATTGGTCTGCTAGAGTGGCAACACTGGTAGCATGGAGCCATATCCTTGGATTTAGCTTGAAAAATTATTTGGAAAATGTTGAAGCTGTCTCCCATGTGTTCGCAGAATTGTTAGCCATGAGTGCAAATGCTGTGCAGTATAGGACAGAAGTGGACAGTAGATGATGCTCCTAACTATACTCATTTTACCTAAATTGTCTTTTCTTCATTTCTGCTGAATGGTTCAATTATTTCAGCTATGTATCTGCATAAATGTGCATGCTTGCAAATTGTCTATTATACAAGCGCATGTCTTTCTCTTGTCAATCCTTTGATGCTCTTTCCCACTGAAAAAACACCAATAGATCAGTTTATCTTTTATTTTTGACATCAGCCTCCATGCTTAACATTTTTGTAACTACTAACTAGTTTGTCTTCAATCTATTGCACAGGTGAATTACATAGAAACGCTGCAGATGTAATCACGACATGGCAAAAACTTTTGAAGTCTTTCCTGCATGATATAGATGAGGAGGTTTGTGTTGTTGATCTGGTAGAAATTTCCATATGTTGTATCTGATTAAATAATAATTATAAGATGAAGAAAATAATATTTGTTGTGGACTGCTACATCTAATTTCATTTTTTGTATCATTCATTAGATGGGTGGGGTAACTTCTCAGTTTTTGTACCATGTCAAAATCAATGCACACTTTTCCTGTCATCACTGCCTGTCTATCTATAACTGTAATTTTCTCGGGATTATCCCTGCCTTGTCATCAATCTAGACATGGCTAGAACTGATCTAAGATTCCTTATGTAAATGAGCCAAGTATTCATATTTGCTGATTTGACAAAATAAAGTTGGTGTGGTCCATGCCAAGACAGCAAATGTTAAACATTCGGCTCATTTTATTGGGGGAACATGAGGAAAATGATTTAAGGAACCTATCCAAGTCTTGTCCTTAGGCATTGTCATTTTGCCTTTCAATTGTTTATGCCCTTGTTATTTTGGCTATTGATTATGCCTCAATTTGAGATGGCTACTTTTGAATTTTGCATTTTCATTTGGAATTTCTTTAATCTCTATTTTGATTGATGGGCTTTAATGTGTATATATTCCAATTGTGCTAATAATATTTTTGATGGTATTGCCTGACAGATTGAGGTTATCTTGAAATTTGAAGAAATATGCCTGGAATCTGCCAAGGAGTTCTCCCCATTGTTTGCACAGGTATTTCTGATGATATACCCAGATGTAGGGAGAGATAGGTTGAAAAGATCTGGCTAGCAAGGTTTCACAAAGTTTCTGTAGCCAATCTCACAATTAAATGGCTAACCTCACTAAAAGCATATTGTAATTACTCCACGATTTGTCATAGTCAATATTCAATAACTTTTATGGTAAACCTGATTTGATTGATAGATGAGAACAGGTCCAGACCAAGATGGCAATAGCAGGGTAACTAGTCTAGCTACTACGTTTAAGATGTCTTAATCGGTTGATGATGAAATTTGCATGGCAATTGCCCTATATTTGTGTATTTGCGTGCTTCTTGACTAGAGAAAGCAGCATGAGATCCAAAGTAGTATACAAGAAAATGGAGCATATGAGCTTGAATGTAGCATGCTGTTCATGTGATTTTTTCGTTCACAGATTTTGCATCTTCTATATGATAAAGACATTCTAGAAGAAGATGCTATTTTAAGGTGGGCTGACGAGAAGGAAGGGGCAGATGAATCAGATAAAGTTTTTGTTCAGCATGCAGAAAAGTTTCTTCAGGTAAGAAATGAACTAATAATGTTTATAAGAGTGTGCATCTGGCTTCTATGATTGTCAAATGAACATCATTGCTTTGCTCATGTATCCCCTGGGTTTTATCGTAGTGGTTGAGAGAGGCAGAAGAAGAAGAAGACTGAGATGGATCATGAGTGGCTGCTTTTCTCAAGGAATTCTTGCATGGCTAACCCTTGGTGCATTTTTCCAATTTTGTTTTCATGTGGCTAATAGAATAAATCTTCCAATTAGCCATCATGTATGTTGTATTGAAACAGTGCAAGCTGTCCATATATGCATATTAACTTATCCTGATGATTTTATAATTCTTTTTTTTTTAACTTGCTTAATAATCTTTTTTTGTCAGAGATTCAAATTTTCATAACTACTGCCTTTTCTTTTTTGTAGAAGAAGAAAACAATGGTGTGCTAAAATAAATTAAACTCACATATAAAAGTAGAATAGGCATTCAAATTAAACTCAGAGGCACATGTTTTAGATTTTTAGTTGCATACACATAAATGACATGTCATAAATCATGATATACAACTAGAAGAGACGCAGATGGACAGTAAAAGGGCAATGGGCTGATTAAAAAGGTCGTGGCCCTGGAGGTCCAGGTGGGCCACCGAACATTGGCCCACAGCAGCGTTCAAAGATGCAGCAACAGCACAGTACATAAAAACTACAAAAAAGAGAAAAGCAAAAAAAAAAAAAAAATGAAGTTAGCTTAACAATAATGATAAAAATGAAGGTCATGCATACCATATATAGAACTTGTGTTACATTAATTAATAATTATTTATAACATGAAACAAAAATACTAAGCTCAAATGCAGCATTACTTTAGAAATATGAATTTGATTTAATGATTTTTTTTTTACATAAATTTAACTATGTATTGGTAATTTTTTTCTTTTTTAAGAATAGATGGTGGTAGGGATCTAAGCAACTCTACAACATTATCAAACAGCAACATACTACAAGCTCAATTTAATCTTGCAAGAACAACATGATCATTATCAAGCAACATAACCCAATGGCTAACTTTGGGAATGAAATCATAGCAACAACTCACCATGAAGATATAAGACGGCAAATACCACCACAAAGAAAATCAAAGCAGCCACATATTCCGGGGGGCCCTGGCGGTCCTCCTGGCGGCGGTCCCCATCCTGGTGGCGGCATCTCTCTTTCTCTTTCTTTTCTCCTCTTTACCTTCTCTCTCTAGAACGTAATGAACATGATGAAATTGAACAATGCATGTAGTTGTATATTTATACACTTAATTCCAATAGAAAGGAAGGGAGCTTACTGGCTAAGAATTCATGAAGGCTCCGCGTGTACCCGGTGTTGGACCAGTAAGTACAATACCATCTGCTATTCTCACTTTCAAGTTTCACCTACTCTTCAAACTTGAAGCAGTTTGTAAGTAAAACGTGGATGCCTTCAAATCAAGGCCATCAAAACAGTACACATGGAATTGGGTCATTGTTATTATTGGCAATTGCAACAAATTGGGTGGAAGGAATGAACATATTTACGACTAACTTCGAGTAGACAAAGTGATTTTTGCTTTTGGGATTTAATATATGGGCATGAGAGGTTTACTGGTACAATATAAAAATGTTTATAATTATTGTAAGCATTGGCATGCTATTCCAAGATAATGTTTAATCTGTGGGCTACAACCATGTGATAAGGCTGGACCTAATTAAATACTTGTAATGAAATTGGTTGGCATTTTAGTACCTAATTGATAATGAAATGATTATATATATATATATATATATATATATATATGAGTTTGTGATAATTAAGACCAACCAGCAGACTGTTGTAGCCATTACTTAGGCGTGTAGGCAACATGCTTTGCTTATCTGTTAAGTCTCGAATTCATTCTTAGACAGTGTAAATGGAAAAAATTGCTTCACACTTTAGATTCAAATAATTCAATAAGGTTAGGCCAATAGTTTCAATGAGTTGGATTTCATTTGCTTTCTGGTTAAAAGCAATTTCCGGGCAATTGATTATCAATTTAGTTTAGTGATTTATTTGTTTTTTGGTTATGGATTGTTTTTAAGGATTATAGGCCCATTCAAAACCTCCTAAACTCAAAAGTTGAGCCCCAAAAAACCAAGGAAGAAGCAGATCCCCAAAGCCCAAAGAAACAACCCCTTTAGGCCCTTTTCTCACTTGGCAGTTGTGAGGCAAATACCACGTGGCACCTACTTACGGGCTATTTCTGCCATAAACCTCTGACTGGCGTGCACACTCAACAAAAAACCCCCCTTCATAAAACCCTTCGAACCAAAAGTCTGAAACTCAGAATTTCAGGGGCCTCTCATGGAGGGCTTTTGGATTTGGTCTCAGAAACATTGAAAAAAAATAATAATAATAAAACAAAGGGGGAGAAAAACGCAATGGCAAATTCCAACCCTCGAACCAATTTGCGTTGCCATCACTGCGCTGGCCCTCTTTCCAAAGAGATGGTAATGATGTTAACTTTCATCTTTTTCTTTCTATTTTTTTTTTTCAAATTTTGTTTTAATTTTAGAAGTTGTTTTTTTTTTTCTCTTTCGTGTTTTATGGTGCAGGAAACAAGTGAATGGACTGTTGCTCCACTTGTGAGGGATAGTTTTTCTATGGTAAGAATTCCCTTCCCTTCTCTTTTTTTTTTCTTTTTACATATTTTTTTCTTGTGGCAATTTCGGATATGTTTTGCTGATGCTAATTCTGACCCTTTTTTGGCATTTTATTTAATGGGTTTTTGGAAATTTGGATACTTTTTCAGTTTAATAGAACTGGGTTTCCAATATTACAATGTTCTTGCAGTTTTGCTTTTCTTTTTGTTGGTACTTTATACTTCTAAGGGGTGGCTTAGTTTGAATGCTTGTTCTTGTTATTTTAGATTGGCTCTGCTGTTGGCGGTACTACAAGTGCATTCTACGGATTCAACCATGGTATAATGTTCTGTTTCTTTTTTTTAGGTTCGTCAGATGTCGTTCAGTTCATGTGCTTTGATCATATTACTGTAACTTAAGTTTTTGTGTAACTGTCATGGCTTCGTCAATGGTCTTTTTTTTTGTGCAATGCCTTCTATAGACTTTTGCCCTTTAAGAAACTTTCATTTTGGGGATAATAGTGTCCACATTGCTTCAGAAGAGTTAACTTCCAAATACGTCTTTGACATTTACAATTTCTGTCAATGATTTGTTTTTAAATAATTCAAACACAAATGAAATTCACTTGCTAAGTTTGTAAAATATGTTTCACTCATCTTACGTCTGACATATGAATTATGAATCTTACTCTGTTGGTATATTGTTATCATCTATTTATGCATTTACTCTGCATGGTTGTTGCTGTTGGATGTCTAATTGACATACTTTATAAGACTATAACTCTATCCCACCATTTCAGTAGTTATTTTTGATGCACCACATGTAGAGAACAGAGTTTAGTTTGTATTTTTGACTTGTGTTTTTTGGTGCAGTGATGCCACTTGTCAGGAGGTGGGTTAAAGGACCCATGTGGGTGCATTTCCTCATTGGAGTAAGTTCTTTAATATGCCAAATTTTAGACCCCTTTCTTCTATGATAACTGATGAGATGCAAACTGTCCTTATTTAGTTGCTTGACCTTGTTTGTAATGATGACCTGATCAAGGGTGATTCCTGTCCATTAATGCTTTGGATGAGTTGTTTGTCAAGGTTAATACATTTTCATTTTCTTGTGGTGCTGCCTGCTTGTCAATAACCATTTGGTTTATGGCTGTTCCTGCTGGTTCACCACTCACCTTCCGATCCCTCACTCCGACTGAACTTTCTGTGCCGTATAGGATGCTCATTTTTCTCATCAATGGAAAAGGATAACTTACAAAATATCTTTATTTACATGTAGGCGCCACCGGTGATAGTGTTCTCTTCTGCTTGTGCAGGGTTGGCAGGTTAGAAATTTTCTCTTCAATGGCTATCTTATGTATTTGTGACTTAAAATGATTTGTGATTTTCTTAATAACATTTTATGCAAAAAAAAGAGAAGAGTTTGTTTTTTAGTATTATTTTGTCTCTTTCATGTTTGTGCAAGCTCTTTTGGTATCATATTTACTTAACTAGTAAATTAAAGTTTCTTAATTCAGACTGTAAAGAGTGTCTTGGAAAATTTTGTGCTTCCAAAGATTTCCTGATGTTCTTTCCCTTAAAATATTTGAAAAATATGTTCTATGATTGTTATGGGAATGCCTTGGTACTTCACAAAACCTAGTTATTATTAAACAATGGTCAACAATCTAAAGTTTGACCTTCCTCTGCCTGAAATCCACTTTGCAAAAAGTGTGTTTTTCTCTCTTTCTTCTTTCACCCTGACAAGTTAGATAATCTGTCCTAGTAACTTTACATTTGGTAGTCCAAGTAACTGCTGTCCAAATTTTGACAGTCTGTCTTGATTGCTTCCTTCTGCCCTGTTGGGTAAATAATTTTTAGGATAGATACTGTTTACAAGTTTCGTTATTGGTGGGTTATTCGGTTAGCATTCTGGCATTTGCATTGGGAGTATATATTATTCATTCTCTCAGAAGATAGAATCATTCGCTGCGAAATCTTGTTTCATTAAATTATATTAACTTGATTTTAAATCATATTAACTTGGTTTTATGGTTGCCACATGATATCTCTTACGGTACCTCTCTTGGAAAACTCTATAGGTGGTGCTGTTCCAGCCCTTGCTCAACTTGCATCTTCGTCTTACCATGCTGCATTTTCATCTTCTTCATTGCCTCCATCTTCACAGGAAGATAAGATGCATAAGTCTAGGCCTTCCAATACTTTGTAATTATATATATAGTTATCTCATTTCATATATGCTGCTTTTGAGAGATAACGGTTTGCCCTTGAAGCTAGTTACCTTGAAATGTTGTAATGTTTCTGGATACAAGTGTAGGTTTATGTTGATGATTAATTATATTCTGCTATGATTATTATGTTTTATGTTGTATAATAAAAGGATTTTGCATTTTTTTTTGACTTAGTTATTCTCATCTCTCAACCCCGTTGTTTAGAGTTTCTTTACTATATATAAATAAACAAATACCACATTTTGGCATGATAAAACCCTTGTTCACGAACTCCAGTTTGCAAAGTGCAGGAATGAGAACTATTATTCATCAGGGAGTTACATTCTTTGCCATCAATGTTACTGAATTTTTACCCTATAAATGATTTTTTTTTTTGGAAAATTAAATCACATAGCCATTCTATATTTGACAAAAAAAAAACTTGATTAAAGTTTTGATTTTTCATTCAATTCCATATTTAGATATCTTAGACATTACCTATTAAATATTTTATTAAACACTTGATTAAATTAAATTTATGTATATTATTAATAAAAATTAAATTAATAAATTAAAATTAATTTATAAAAAATAAATTAAAATTTAAAATCATATTTAAAATAATTAATAAATTTTATATTAATTATAAAAAATTTATAAAAATAAGTAATATGTAAAAAAATAACATTTAATATTATCAAGTTTGAGTAATTGATATTCTATGATCATTACTTGAACTCTACTACACTCATTATAAACAATCATTTTACTATCCAAAAGATATTTTAATCTTATTGATTAAGTTGGAATCGGATAATCTAAACTAATCGATTATAGGTCATCGCCACACATTAATATAGTAAAGTAAACCATTGAAGACAATATCTCGTTTGCCCGTGTGCTACCTGGTTATTTTCTAATTCCTCCGTTGAGAGCCTTGGTTTCATCGCCACTGTTCTGTCTTTGTCTTTCTTCAGATCAACCCAGTCTCAAACTTAAAAACTTTCACGTAAAAACAACTCAAAAATTTTCCATGCATTTTCAACTTTAATCCCATTCTGCGAAAATGAAACTCACCCTTTCTTTTATCTCTCTTTCTTTAACCATCTCGTCCTTAATAATTCCATCCCATGCATCATCTTCTTCGCTTCCTTCCAATTCCTTCCTTGGAATTGCTCCTCAAGGTACACATTTTTTTTTCTTTTCCCTTTAAAGTTTCATTCTTTTTGGGTTAATATATTTGTAAAGGAAACTGGGTTGTTTGTTTGTTGGATGAAATGAAACCCAAAAAAAAAAAACAAAAAAAAAACAGATGAAGATTACTTCAAAGGAGAGATCATAAAGTGCAAGAGTGGATCAAAGACGTTCACAAAAACCCAATTCAATGATGATTTCTGTGACTGTCCAGATGGCACTGATGAGCCAGGTCCGTCTCTCTCCTTTGTTTTTTCTTTTAATTTCTCAATGGTTTGATAGATTTTCTGGGTTTTTATTTATTTGAAGTGATAATGAAACATGCTGGTTGAGGAATTTGGATGTCTTGTTTATGTTAGAGTTTACTTGTTTTTTTTTCCTCTGCTTTTTCTGTTTTTCATCGTTCTTTAATTTCTTAAAATGTTTGGTTCAGGAACATCAGCCTGTCCGCAGGGAAAGTTTTATTGTAGGAATGCTGGGCATTCTCCTTCTTTGCTGT